CATTACATTGTTCAAATACCTAGATTAGTTTATTTTTGCTTAATTGTTCCCATAGTTGTGTAAGTATGCCGGTGCAGGGGACAAAATCTTTTCGCCGCATAACGACAGTGGCATTCTTGATGCAGGGGATATTGAGTCCATGCCTTTCATTGAAGCATTAGGTCAATTTTCATACCGTGTTGGTAAGAAAACTACAGTTCTTTTCTGAGCACGAAACATTACCATTTGGCCTGTTCCTTTACTCCTTTTTACAGTTTTTTTATAGTCTGCTCATTCCTTCTCTGTGCTGTAGGGCCTGGAAACTTCTGTCTCGTTCATGTCAGTCTTGTTCCGGTTCTAAATGTAGTCGGTGAACAGGTAAACTTATCAGTTGCTTACATATGATTGCAATTTAGCTTGAAGAAAACTAAACTTTGCATCACTAACACCCAAAACCTTTTAAAATAGAAAAACTCTGTTAATTACTTTCATGTAAATATGTAATTGACAATCTGTTACATTTGTGTAGAAAACTAAGCCTACACAGCATAGTGTTCGTGGGCTTAGAGGACTTGGGCTGGCACCAGATATTTTAGCATGTCGCAGTACTGAGGTACACTATACAGTCACCTTTCTCCAGTTTCCAGTTCTTCAAAGTCTCTATGTTACTGTTTGTCAGTGCTTAAAACTGAATCACTAATGGTCATTTCTATGTTTTCGGCAGCCATTGGAGGAACATGTGAAGGTCAAGCTTTCACAATTTTGTCATGTTCCGGTAATGACAATGCTTCCCATTACAAGGCTGCTTTTGAGTTTTTACCCTTGCTCTTGCCCTGACAATGCAACTTACGTTGCAGATCTCAAATATAGTGAACCTCCATGACGTGACAAACATTTGGCACATCCCCTTGTTGCTAAGGGTAGGGTATTTCTTTTCTATGGAATGTTTACCATAAATTCGAAATTCGCATCTTATTTAACCATCCACAATGGAACTTTTTTATAGGACCAGAAGGCCCATGAAGCTATTCTCAAAGTTTTAGAGCTTCAGTAGTATGTGCTTTTGCATGATCACATCAATTGTTCATATAGTAGTTTGAACATTGAAGGAGCACTGCTCATGTGTACACTTTTTATTACTGCTATGTATGCAGTGATGGAAAAGTACCTCGGGAACCTGAGTTAGGGAAGTGGACTAAAAGAGCCACCAAGTTCGACAAATTGAAAACTCCGGTAGGTTTCTATCATCGTTCTTCCTGTTGTTTCCAGGAGGGAGGGGTAAAAATTGGCCCTTATGTTTTTGAGCAAACTGTTGGTTAAAGTGAGCACTATTGCATTAACTTTTCAGGTCAAGATTGCCATGGTTGGAAAATACACTGGCCTGTCGGATTCCTACCTGTCTGTCATTAAGGTGACATTATTACTATTTGAATTTAAAAATGAGAACTTGGCCAACTAGGAGGAACTGGGTGGTAATATAAATAAGAAGAAATAGGTGGATAAATTTGAGCTGAAAACGAACATGGGTGGTGGGGGTGTACATCCATACCTCCCACCAACCCAATGTTTGATTATGAAAATTGGTGAAAAAAACATACTAGACCAAAATGAATCGCATTTCAGTTCCTCAACCATGACTCTACCCTATCTTATTGAAAATAAAGGCCACAACAACGTTGAGATGGCACTGCCTTATAAGTTATATAAATGTACCATAAACATGTGCAAATGCGAATTGAGAAGAGGCTGGAACCTGCTTGAAGAGTTTCAGTTTTCTTACATGATGCTGTTTTCTGTTTGAAGCTTGTTTTAATTGTGGTTATGCTCTTAATTCAATGGATTTGTGCTAGGAATACTCTTTCTTGCTAGCAGAACAAACAACAAAGTTGCACCCCCTGACAATCTTACTCTTCCTGCTGACGAATTTGTCGAAATTAACCTTATTACAGGCTCTTTTGCATGCATCAGTTGCTATGGAAAGAAAACTTGTAGTTGAGTGGGTTCCTTCCTGCGATCTGGAAGATTCTTCAGCTAAAGAGGTCAGTTTTATCATGGGCACTGAATCAGTTCTATTCCTCAATGGAGCTTTTGCTGATGCTTTTGAGATGTGTTGTTCTGTGTAGACCCCTGAAGCCCATAAAAAAGCGTGGATGTTGCTGAAGGTAAGTGCATACATCAAATGGTAGCATGATGCAATTCTTGAAAGTTCTGTACTTCTGTACAGCCGTCTCATGGAATTCCACCTCAGGGTGCAGATGGTGTACTCGTTCCTGGAGGATTTGGAGATAGGGGAGTCCAGGGCAAAATTCTTGCAGCAAAATATGCACGCGAGAACAATGTTCCTTATCTTGGCATTTGCTTGGGAATGCAAATTGCAGTGATTGAGTTTGCCCGTTCGGTGATGAAACTACAAGGTGCCAATAGCACGGAATTCGATCCAGCTACAACATCACCCTGTGTCATCTTCATGCCAGAGGTAGGTTATGTTCACTGTCATGCTTACTTGGTATTATTATCCTTCATTAATCATTCATTTTGAACTGTAAACTTCTGACAACACTTCCACAGGGCTCAAAAACCCAAATGGGAGCGACAATGAGGCTTGGATCGAGGAGAACCTATTTCCATGTCAATGGCTGCAAATCTGCAAAGCTGTAAGAAAACACTAATCCTCATATTCTTCAGTCTAATGCATGATTGTACACTTGATGTGGTGAAATATAACTCTTGTAAATATGTCTCAGGTATGGCAATGCCAGCTCTGTAGATGAAAGACATCGCCACAGATACGAGGTACCCTGATTGAATTGTCTATTAGCCATATCGAATAATGTATGTCACTGTTAATCTTTTTGCATAGTGATGATTTTTTTTTCCTCCAGGTGAACCCTGATATGGTCCCGGACTTTGAGAGGGCCGGGCTTCAATTCGTGGGCAAAGATGAAAGTGGAAAACGCATGGGGGTAGACTTGGAAATTTTCTCGGATGCTGTAGACTTAGATGTACTTTCTAAGAAAGTAATAAGAAACGTTCTCAATCACTTAGTGGTGCTCTGTTGGATGCAGATCATTGAGCTTCCCTCTCACAAGTTTTTCATCGGTGCACAATTCCATCCTGAATTCAAGTCGAGACCAGGAAAGCCATCTCCGCTCTTCTTAGGTAACACGACCCTACTTTGCAAAAATACCATGAGTTCTTTTTTCTGGTATCCACTCTGCTAATAAGACTGCTACTGCATTTTGAGCATGCCTAAGTGCCTCATCTGAATCAATAATTCATCTCCGCTGACAGGGCTGATAGCCGCGGCATCTGAACAGCTAGAACCTTTGCTTCAACGCAGCAATCTGACAACGAAAGCATGTGCTATCAGTAAAGTCCCGAAACTGAAATTATACCCAACTGGACCTGTGAATCCATTGAACAGCTTGGTAAATGGGTACTACCCAAATGGCACTGGCATTCACACCTAGAAGCATAATGCTTAGCGATGGCTTGATTGATATTTGATTTGCTCCGACATTTTAACGAGGAACGTCCTCCAGTCCGTTGAAGCAAACTAGCTATAGGGTGGTGAGGTCTAGTGTGATGTTGCTTTTTTGTTTTGAGGCCTGGAATTAAGGCGGGAAGTGTTTTGGTAGCGTTAGTAGAGCCTGGAATCTCAACTATTTGTACATTATGGAATAACTTATCTAAGGACTGAATACACAAATGCTTGGCCATGGTTGCTTTGTTCCCACAATTAACAGCCACACTCAGATGAAGAGTATGAGTGTATAACTGTCTAATTAAAAAATGCAAGCATTATTGTTGTTGTTAATGTTGGTGCCTGTGTTGCCCTAATGCATGGTGTACCTGTTCAAGTATCCAGTGTTAACTCGTATTATCATTTTTTTTTCTTGGCTCCGAAATTTTGGGTGCCATATCATAACTGCATGCTTTTGATGCTTTGCCTTTTCTAGTTCTGAAGACACAATGGCACTTTATTTATCTAAATACGTACTGCACATTAAGGTATGTATTGTAAATGGAATTTAGAAGAACGAAGGTGTTTTTTTTTCTCTCTCTAGAATGGAATAATGAGCTGTAAATGAATACGGTGATGAATTTCATGAACTGTCGGCTCTAGGCTGGGTTTTGTCAGGAAATTCTCCGTCATTCCCTGACTCTGCCAAAGAATTGGTAGATTTTCCTACTGAGATCGCATTAAGTGCCATCGGACATAATAAAAAATAAAATAAGTCCAAGCATAGTACCTACTCAGGAATCGCATTGCACTTTTTTAAAAAGGAAATGAACATGAGCCTTATGATAGTATTCTTATAATCGTTCGTGTAATACTCACTCCGTTCCAAATCTTAATTCGTTCAGGCTTTTTTAAGTACATTGTTTTTGTTATACACCTAGATATAAGTTATGTCTAAATTACATAATAGAAAAAACAGAACAAATTATAATTTGGAATAGAGGGAGGAGCTCATATAGGATACGACATACAATTGGCATGTCCAAAAGGATCTTTTCTCTTTTTTCAAGACAAAATTCCATGGGTAATTTGTTATACAACGCCATGTAGCACTGTGGAATAACAAATACTTGAGAACGTAATAACTGATAAAACCGTCCACACAAAGCGGCATACTTTCAGAATTTTGCGTTGCGGTCTTGGGGTAAACCAAGCTACATAGCTTAAGGTAGTCTCCAAAATCGATTCACCATCCAGAAAATACACCTATCCATTGTGATAGAGTTAGCTGCAAGAAAAGCACTCTGAACATAGAAGCGCAATATGCTAAAAACGTAAAAAGATAGCCAGAGATCAGAATGTTACGAACATAGAAAAGCAGATGACCGAACCAACACTCAGAAATCATATCAAAGAAGCATAATCCAATAGAAACAATCCTAGGCCCAAAAACAGAAAGGAAGAAGAATATAGCCATCTTAACATAAAAAAAATTCTACTATCATATCTTATATATTTGTCCTTAAAATTACTTGCCAAATTGGAAAGTTTCTTTGCTCTAAAGATTGACACCAAATTCTTCTAAGGCTATCCTCTTATAATCAAAGACATGTAAAAATGTCACAATTAGGTGATAGGAACTGAAGAATCCTTCACTAACACTCACCGGTAGGCAATTGATTACAGCCAATGCCGCAGATGCATGAAGCAAGCTACTTAAACCATTTTCCAAGATATATGGGATGTCTGCAATGAAAAGTAGAAGTGCCCATCGAGGTCGGTAGTGGGATAACCTAACAGAACGTGCTGATGATGACAGATCACCCACATAAACAAAAGATCCTTCACAAGGACTCTGTCCAAGGTTACTATTTGCGGTATGTGATGATAACAAATTTCCTGCTTTTTGCAAACATCCCAAAGAGTATGGCCTGGCATAGGAGACCTCAATCCATGAAATGCCTGGGGTGAGAACAGGTACCAAGCAGCGCTCATCCTATCACCATTGACCAAATAGACACATATTAAGCATAATATATAAATCATACAAAAAGATTACTTCTATTAAAAGAAGGACTTCCTAAGGATTGTTCCTAAAAACTCTTAATTCACCATTCAAATGTGGTACCAATCAAATCAAATGAGGGGCTCTTACCTCAAAACATGCACAACTACTTTCATCACCTTCAGTCGTGTGCCATCCGTTTCCACATCGTCTAAGCTTTACTACATCTTTTGCAATCAAACAATATTTTCCCTCAACTTCCTTCTGGTCACTACCTATGCTAGTCTTCTCGGTCAAAATGGTTGAGCCATTACAGATAACTTTTTCAAAAGCTATCAGTTCATCTGGGCAAGGCAGCTTGTCTCTTATCTGCCAGAGATTTTTGCTTGCATCTATCCATGAATCGGGCACGCAATAACCCTTGGCAGAACTAGTGGCAACATATCTATGAGAGCCTTCAAGGAACTCAGGATCACTAGATTTTGCTGTAGAACCTTGGTTCAGAATCTTGATCCATTCATCAGTTCTTGTTATTTTCAGACCATCCACAGAAAGGATAACATCATGAGAAGACAAGTATTCTGACATAAGAGATATTTCAGGGATCTCCATGACCTGTTCTGACAGACTTTTAGATTGTAAAGATTGCCAAGATTAAAATAATGTAAACACATAGAAGTAGACTTACCATGAGGCCATCACCACTCACATAGAGAGGATATAACATCACCGGAAGTAATAATGTTACCATCACACATGCTGTACAGAGCTATTAAACATGAAATCATAACAAAAAAAAACTTTTATAAAACATCACGATTATTGAGTAACAAGCTCAGTATACAAGTATATAACATTACACTTGAACTACGTCTAAGACTGCATTAGAACTATATTTGCACTTCTCTAACCAGGGTTTTTAACAGCATTTTCTAAACCAGCAATTGTTTCTATTTGGTTGTTATATGCCTTGAGCCCTGATTTGGGCTACAGGCCTACAGTCAAATAAATGAATAAAAAACAAGAAGGCAAAACCATGTCCTATATATTGACTTCAGTTTCTGATGTCCTAACCAGACAAAATGCATCCCTTCAAATATACGTGTAGGCATGATACACACTGGTGTATGCCCTCAAGTGTATGTGTAGGCAAGATACTCAGTGGTGTACCCCCTCAATACCAACTATAACTCTTTTTACAGTGAACTTGTAGGGAAAAAATTCTAATTATTACATTAAGCAAAGATAAGGACATGCTTGTTTGGTTTAGAAGGTTAGTTTCCATTTTCTGAATATATCTCTGCTCACATTGTTTAAAATGAATATTCAGTGAGACCAATTGCATCTTATGCCAAACTGCATAAAGCATATTGTTCTTATTTCTTGTTTGTTGCCTTTATTATTGCAAGTAAACAAATAATTATCCGTTTTTCTTTTGATTTAAGCACTGTACTTCTGTATGAGGTAGCAAGAACCAAGAAGTACCCAAATATTGAAAGTAGCTGACAATGGATTACGAAATTATATGAAAATAAAAAGAGGACATAACCAATAAAATAGACTTACTCCTATCTTTTGGAAATAATCAATGCACAACAGAATCGCTTACCATAACATTATGCCAAATTCCTGCACAATAAATCCGGAGCATAGAAAAGAGAGGCAGATTTTGTAGTAGGTCATAGTTCAGAGCAACAAATGCCCCAGGAAAAATTACAGCGACAAATATGGCGACATACTCAATCTGTAGTCCCTCACTGTTGCAAATGTAGCAAATAATGTGTCAGAACAGGACACAAAAATAATTCATGAGCAAGCTGTTAGACAGATAGTTGGTTTAGGCCGTCGGCCTTAGTCTTGTGCATGCGCTGTCCATAGGACCATGCCACATATATAGATCGATTTTGTGTTAGGCAAGGTCACAGGGATCTTTGTGGTTGGTGCTATTTCTATAAACTAAAACCCTAGAGCAGCATTGCCTATATAATCCAGTAATCTATCCCTCATAATCAATCCACTATTTGCCACCTATTATCCTCGCTTACAGATGTTTTGAGTATGGAGTGAAAACAAAAGCACACAACATCTAAGAGACAAAAAAATAGACATGAGAAGGTAAGACATAAAGACCTTGCAGCTGCAATGGCATGTCCAAATTCATGAAAAGCAATAGACATGATTGTTGACATTATGATGATTGCGGTGTCCACAATAGATATGTTGAGACCTGAAGTCTGCAATAAGCAGAAATGCATGGTGGGTTGATGATGTGAGAAGCTGAAAAGAGAAGTGTCAAATTCTACTCACCAGTAGGTTCTGTAACCAGGCACTAAGGGATCCACTCCTGAAATAACACACACCAATTGACTCCCACAGTAGCATCTAGAAAATCGAAAAGATCACAGTACATAAGATTTGTATACCTATGGGAAAAGTATAACCAAAGCATAGCATTGTCCACATTACAACGAAAGATATGGGACCTGCTAAATCCACCACACATTTATAAGGAATCGATAGAAATTGATAAGAGCAAGAACCCAAGAAACACAGAAATTGAAGATACATAACTACAGATTAATACTGTTCAATGCAGTTACTGATAATGATATCAACTGGTGGGCTCAATTATTTTTGTTTTTTAAAAAAATTTAATATTATCATAATGCCTAGCAGAGCCCTAATCAATTATGTGAGGAAGCCACAAGACAAGCCAAAAAGGTTAAAAATAACTCCTTTGAAAATACTGAACCACCAAAAGGAAATCCCCATGCCTCAAATCATAAGGATTTAAATCATCAGAAGTACCGTTGTCAAATTTATACGCTATAGTAAAATTAACTATTTAATAACTGGCCACCATTAATTTAGGATTTAGGAACAGCATGGAAAATCTCAACACCGTTTCCTGTCTGAAGCAGTAATCCATTCATTCAACTTATGTAGACTTATATTATGCACACATTGTAAATTGTCACATAATAATTGTGGCAGAACCTCCTAAATTATAGGGCCCACATGCACCTGTCACTGTCCAACGACCTTTGACATCTATGCATATGTTCCTGGTAATTTAAGAAGACTGTTGGGTGTCCTCGGGGAACCCCGAATCATCCACGATTTCCGAGCAGGATCACATTACAGAGTCATTGCAGTATTACAACAGTTTATTCAAATAAATATATCAGAGTAAAAGTAGCGGAAGACTTACAATAACATAGTTTACAAACCATTTGTTTCAAATCATACAACTAAGTTCGATATTAATACAAACCAAAGTAGTGGAGCGGCATTATAATATAATACAAAACACACAATGAGGCTACCACCTTAAAGAAGGGCCACACAATTACTTCTCATCGTCATCACAAGGTACAAGCTCATGCGCAAAGACGATCCACAACAGATCTCGCCATGAGACTCACTCGCACAACAAGGGTCAACGAACCACGAGTACAAAAGTACTCAACAAGACTTATCCGAAATAAGAACTGATAACTCAAGAATGCGGGCTCGAGGATTCAAGGTATGGTTTTAGCAATAATCAAAGTTATTTTATGTAAAAGCTCTTTAACAAAATTCTTTATTTCAACACTTTAAACTTCATAAACTCATATACAAAGATGACACGATCCGTAATGAGATCATGAAACTTCATATCCAACACCTTCATCAACCATTCTCAAGTTCCATTATTAATACTACGATGATGAACGAAGTGAGTTGAGTCTCCATAACCGAGGAGCAACGACGATTCGAACCGATTGTAAACCCAAATTTGGAATTCCAGACCACACGACATATGCAGTCCCCCACCTACATATACCAACCTACCCTCGGATCCTCTGAAACAAGAACGGGTCCACGCCACCCGAGAATACGATACTCCACCAATCCAAATTTATAGCCACGTGGGTATACGCTATTCCGCCATCTCTCCACTCCCGGTCTTGCGAGTAGCCATTCTCGTAATAGAATCGCCAAGTTCAGGGCTTACTGGAGTATGTGGTTAGTACTACAAATTCTCACCTCATGCAATTCAACAACGGACGTGCCTTAATCGACACAAAGTGGAAGAACCCGCTCACAAGACCTCCATGTCTTGTGGCTCACACACACCGAGTCCGCCTGGGGTCTAAATTTATTACTCCACATTCCCATATCACATGCTAACATAATTAACCAATGTTCCATTTAAAACTTGCGGTGGCGGTAATCACCCGACTTTCATCGTTCTCGATAGCTAAGCAAAACTAGGCATATACGAGTTTAAAAAGCGGTAATATGGTAAATATGGAATAACAAGGATGGTAATGCACCAATTAGGCTCTTACTTAACTCCTAATCACTTAATGCAATGTGGAAAGCAAAAGCAAAATCAATTTGTAAAACACAAGGTAGGGTTGTATGCATCCGTGGCTTGCCTTCGTTGACGGAAAAAGTCCGGCTCTGCGACGTTCACAAGTATTCGGTCCGACCTCAACAGATTTGGATTAACCTCCTCAACCACTTGATTAACTACCACGTGTTCACCTTCGTTTACTACACGTAATAACAATGCCATGTTTAACATGATGTGGAATACTGAAACATGATGCTCGATGATGGATGCAAAATTAATAATTTGAATACAACTTTCCTTCATGAGACAGAGCTTGCAAGTCAAACTAGTCAAACCTTTTTCGCAACACCAATCAATTGCCAAGGATCATTATCAACTAATGATCCAAGATCATCACTCAATCAAAATTTCAAACAAAACCTAAATCATTAAATGTTACTATTTGCTTTTATGAATTAATTATTTAATTCAAAATTATGAAATAAATCAACTTATTCCAATTGAGCTCAAAATTTTTGTAAATGTTCATTACATGATAACTACGTGGCAAAACCAATTTCATAATTTTTTGGATATATAAATAAGCCTAGAAAAATCATGGAAATCCATTTATTAATAAATTGAGCAATTTTTATCACATTCAAAAATTACTGAAAACATCATTTTATATTTTTCTTAAATACTATACATCACAGAGAAGTCACACAAAAATTTTCATAATTTTTGGAGCTCTAAATAAATCTACACAAAAATAACAAAAACAGACACTATTCATTCAAATCTGAAAATAGAAAAAAAAATCCATTTGAACGCTGAGTCACTGACAACCCGACCCCACCTGTCATCCCTAACCTCCGACGTTGACCACGGCAGCGACGGCTCTGACCGGCGATTTCTCGCCGACGGTGAGATCACCGGCGACGACCAACGTACCAAAATGATCACCAAGTCTAGGCGCATCGATTGACGTCCCTATCAGCACTGATTACGGCCCTATACTAGCTCGTCGACGACCATGGCGGGACGCGGTCGCCGCGCAGCGCTTCTGCCGGGCGGTGTCGCGGCCGGTGAAAGCTCAAACAAGGGATTCGTGAAGCACCGAGGCTCACCCCAACGCGTTGAAGCAAGGAGCGAGGTCGAAGAAGCAACGCGAGAGGCGTGACAACGATCACGGTAATCACGGCGAGCAAAACGTCGTCGGCGATGGTGTACCGGCGATCGCAGCGATGATCAAAATGAGCAACCAACTATGGATTAAGTACTACAACATCGAGACGAAACAGAATCGGCCAAAACCGGGGCGAAAGATGCACCGTGGAGCTCTGGCCACGGCGAATCGCGCTCGGCGGAGGAGTTGCTGGCCGCGAAGAAGAAAGACGTGGACAGCGAGTTTCCGGTGGAGATAAACTGAATTGGTGGGTCGGTTGGACGCGTAAGGTTAAGGCGGAGTTGGGGCAGAGCTTTTGCCGAGACGGCAAAGCGCTAAGTCGACGGCGAGAGCTCAGCGGAACTGCGCGGTGGTGGCGGCACGGAAAAGCGAGGAGGAAGAAAAAAACGCGGCGACGCGTCTCGGTTCTTATAACGCGACTCGGAAGCTCAAGGAAGCCACGACGGAGCCGTTTTTGTGCCAGCGCGATGCCAAGGACGGCCACGACGCGCCTGGAACGCCGAAGAAGGTCGTCGGCGGTGTAGTCTCGACGGTGGACACTGTTCACAGTAATTACAAGTTTGCCATTCGCCAAAATTCACAAATTACTCTCAAATTTTCATAACAACTCAAATATCTCCAAAAACAAAAGTTGTTCAAAATCAAAAGTTCTACAACTTTGCTTCTATAACCATCTCCTAATTCGGTCTAGATTTTGAAATGAACTTTTGAATTTGAATAGGGAAATTTAACGAATTACGCCTTTTTGAATTACTCAAAATTTTTCTAAACAACTTGAAAAACTCCAAAAACAAACTTTGTATAACTTGCCAAGCTCTACACTTTTGCTTTTGGGATCAACCCCAAATTATCCTTAGATTTTGAAATGGATTTTCAGGGTAGGATTTAAATGCTGAAAAGCGGGGTTTTCTCGAAAAATTCAAAAATCCAAACAAACTTTGAATTTAAGTCAAACAATACAATTCAACACATACCACATGAATATAAACTTGTTTTAGTGTATGCATCTCAAAGTTTTCATCAAATACCAAATGCTTTGCAATGCATATGATGACATGTCAGGTTTTAGTATTTTAAACACCCGAGGTGTTACAATCATGTTCTTTTGTGATTGTAAAGGCACTACCACACGGGTGGTTCTAATTGTTTGAGCAGCAACAATAAGTGACATGATGGGATCCATGATGCAAATGAACATTTTTCAACTTTGGTAATATAACACAGAGAACATTGGAATAATTATTGGACATCAACTTACCAAGGATATACTCACTAAAGCAATGAGGGAGAGATAAACACCTACAGAAAACCATGCTCTCATATATCTGTAGAAAAAAGGAAGGAAACTCGGTATAACTTCAAAAGTAATGAATGTTTTTGGTCAACATTCTGAACATGCCAAAGAAACTGCACTTCACCCTTAAGTAACTGAAAACGAAAATTTGAGTACAAACATGTGTACAGTGCATCTAGAAATATCCATGGGTGTAGTTACGGAAAAAACTGAAAGGAGACCATAAAAGTTCTGCAATATTCATCGGTGAAAGGAATGCAGAGCAAGGATCTGATCTAAAAAAAGTACAAGATGTTTAATATGGTGCCACCACTATTTATCAATAAATATAATACAAACAGAGCGTCAGAGCTATATGGTTAATATTTCAGAGAAGAAAACAAAATAAGGACTCGCGTCTAATATGGTGCCACCACTATTTATCAATAAATATAATGCAAACATATGTGGTTAATGTTTCAGAGAAGAAAACAAAATAAGGACCCCAGATGACAGTTCTTTTTTATTTTTGCCTAGTTTCATGGTTAGTTGGTTACACATATAAGTCTAGTGCTAAATTGGTTATAGAACTATTTAGAATACCAGATCTGGCAGAATAACATGCTGTTCAGTCTTTTGTATGGACAGCATTGCTTCAGAAGCAACTAAAAAGGGCGTACCCAGTGCAGAGCTCCCGCTTTATGCGGGGTCTGGGGAAGGGTGTCAGTAGCAAGCCTTACCCTCACCTGTGCAATGTGAGGAGACCGCGACTCGAACCCGGGACCTTCCGGTCACAGGCAGTAAGACTCTACCGCTTGTACCAGGCCCGCCCTTCAGAAGCAACTAAAAACTGATAAATTGAGAATACAAATGTGGAAATTTTGGCAAGATAGGTTTATAATAATGTATGTAAACACAGCAAAATTTAAATTTTATTATACATTTGCCAAAAAAAAAAGAAGAAACGAAAGCAGATATGGTCTGAAAAAAAAGCACAGGGCAACTGTTATGTAGTATTTCAACTCAGAGTATCTTGAACCAATGCTATGGACTTCAGAGTTCAGACAACAAAATATTAACACCTGAATTTTCCACTCATGCGAAGCATCAAAGACCTAAATAAGAATATTCATAAGTTCATAAGCTAAGCCAGACCATACCTAGCATACTTCCACCCCAAATTGAAGAGTGTGTCATTTAAGGCATATATCTTGCAGTCACAATACCTGAATTTTGTGCATCCACAATAAGAAAAATTGAAGTGTCAACTCCCTCTACTTTCTTAAAAACTTAAAATGAAGAAAAAGAAAAGAAAAGACGAGAGAGGAACCAAAGAAGGATGCTATTTAGATCGAGCTTCAGCAGTACAGACAGCGAGAGGTAAGAGGACGTGCAGTTCACTAACCAACAGGAGATGGAGTGCTTGCTCCGGCGGGAAGCGGCGCTCGTGGGCAGGGACGCCGGTGCCCGTCCCCGTCGCCTGCCGCGGCCGGCGCCGATCATCTCAGCAGCGCGGCAAGCAAGGATTTCCCCTTCTTCTGTTAAAAAGGGTAGGCTAGGTTCAGCTTCTAGAAGCTCGGCTGCCCGCCTCTGCAAGCTTCTGGAACCTTCCTACGGTTGGCGAGAGAATTCCGTCGGATCGAGCGGGGCGGGAGCGCAAGTCTGGTTGAGAGCTGGAGAGAGTAGGAGACTGGAGAGGAGCCGACTAGGGATGCGAGCGGCACGGGCCTGTCCGCATGCCCGCAAGGCCCGCCCCGCAACAGTGGCTTTAGCGTGCATTTCGTTTTGCGGGCTTAATCGCGATAAAAGTCCAATGAACCAAAGAACGGGCCGGCCCTTCCTGCAATCCCCGCAAAAAACTGCCTGGCCCAGGAAGGCTCCCAGGCGTCCGATTTTGGGCCTTAATCCAAACAGGCCCGCCGCTCCTCACGGTCCGCTGCAAGAAGCTCATGAAACTTGTGTTGTAATTCAACGAATAACCACGAACCAACCTCATGAAACTCGTACTTGCACTCTTGCAGTGCAGGGAGCTACGGCGGCGCTATGGTACGTGACAACGGGCCAAGTAAAAAAGAAGAAACGTTTCTCTTCCTCCTCGGGAAGGATCGCACGATCAAAGTGGATTGAGGACGAGGAATCATGGGCATGATGCAGATATGGATGTCGATGCTAACGTGGAACGCCGTCATCTTAGAGCGCTACGCTAGCACATCCTCCCTTCACAAGGCCACAAGGAGACGTACGTGCTTACATGCGGTTGGTGCTGAATCCCTGAACCCCAATGCAGGTGGCGTCAAGAGGGTGCGCTGTTTTATCGGTAACGCTGCGGTGCGGGCCTTTGTCCGGCGGGACGTTCTTGGGTGCGCGCGATGCCAGCCTAACTATCTTCCATCTGCTTGGGAGTTTCTAAAACAAATCTTTTCGTATAGTCGCTCATGCCCTCTTATCCAGTCGTTCCTATCTGCTCCAGGGACAATGCCCACCACATTTGCAAGCCAAGAGGCACTAACACGCCAAGGGGAGCCAGTAAATTTGGACAAGCGCTACCCCGATCGCGGCTGGCATGAGTTTTTCGGTGGGCTACTCAGAGCTGGTGCTCCCAAAGCAGCTGCTGCATCTCCTCCTGTTGCTGGTGCACATCCGCCGCTTCCTCCTCTGGACGTTCGACGTCATGGGCCTCGGTGACCTGCTAGATCTTGGGGACGACCACCAGGTGCTCCGGCAAGACGGCGCGGCGCGCGGCTGCCCTCTTCCAGTCGTGTGGCCGCTGCCTCCAATACGCCGACGAGCCTCTATTCTTTCAAGCAGCAAAGAGATGCTGCGCTGAAAGCACATGTTGCAAAGTGTATGTTTCAAGTGTTCAAATCTTTGAGAGGTATATATGGTCCAATTGTTTCGTGCGGATTTTGCAAAAGTAGATCAAAGATGTTGCATATGTTGCAATGGTTGTACACATACGTTGTAAACGTCTGTCCGCAATGTTTCATCTGTGTTTTTAGACGTATGTGGCAAGTGTGTTTATCTGGATATTGCATATGTTTCTCATATATGTTGCAAGTGTTTTGTCTGGATGTTGTGTATGTTTACAGTGATTTTCAAGTTTTTTGCAAGTGTTTTAGAAGCACGTTTCAAGTGTTTCATCTATCTTCAGACGTATATTACAAGTGTTGTATCTGAATGTTTTAAAAGTAGATCAGAGTATTGCACATATTGCAATGTCACCCGCTTGCTGCAACTGCTAGAGGACGTGAGGGGATGTTTCAAAAGTAGATAAGAGTGTTGCACATATTATAATATCACCCACTTGCTATAACTGCTAGAGGACGTGAGGGGTCAGAGTAGGGCGCAGACGTCACGTGGGGTCAGGAGAGGAGAACACAGATGCCATCGTTTGGCTGGCGCGGGGTAGAGTGCAAACGCTCGAATAGGGTGCAAGTGCGGGTGTCCGCGCACGTCCGTTGGAACATTCGGGCGGTAGCATTCCACCGTTTCATGTTCTTGCTGCTCCAAAATCCTAACTGTACAGCGAATGAGAGGTAGGATGCGGCGGCGGTGGCTGCGGCATCCAAAATCCTAACTATAGTATTTAAAACCCTAACTCTATTGTGTCATCCAAAATCCTAACTGTATGAGTTTCAAAAAAAAAATTCTAACTGTGCGAATGGGTCTATGCCCTAGGGATCTCTAGGCTGCGCCGCTGCGGCACGACGGAGCCGCAGAGGTAGCTCGGTCTTGCCGCCGCTAGCGCGGGTGAGGGGATGCCGAGCAGCATTTAGCACTATTTTTCAGCTATGAAAAATTAATTTTCTCTCACAGCATTTCAGCATAAACTAAATTTTAGCATAAACAAACAAGATTTCAGCATAAACATTACCATAAGGCAAATAAATTTCGGCATAAACGTACAGGGTAGCAAAGGCTGCGGCACGGCGGAAGGCAGGCTCAGTCTGAATCCTCCCTTCACAACTCAAGGCCACACGTTCCATGCGGTTGGTGCTGAATCCCCAATGCAAGTGGCGTCAAGAGCCTGCGCTGTTTTATGATCTTGCTGCTCCAAAATCCTAACCATAAAGTGAATGAGTCTAGTATTATAGTAATTAGTTACCTGGTTGCTTTGATATTAGTGTAAATTTTTGGAGGACCGGTGAGAGAAGATTGCTCCTCGTCGAACACGTTGTTTTCCGAATTGAGGGAGCACTAAGTAGGATTCAGACGGTCCTTACTTTTTATTGCAATCTAATATCTTACACTACCACTGACTGGTTGCATACGCACGCTACAGAGAGGTTTCACAGTCCACACGCACGTAGACAGAGCATCTATGCAGCGCACACAAAGCTATCATCATACACACGCACACGTACGGTGACGCACAAGGGCACCAAAAACCATCGCCGGATCGCCCACAATCACGCGGCAGTGCCGCCGGTGCCGGTTGCCCCGGCATCGGCGCTGTCGTCGGGGCGCTCCTTCTTGGCGCCGAAGGTGCTGCGGTCCACTCCACGGTCCGCGGCATCGTCGACCTTGTCCTGCACCTTCTCGATCTGGATGGCGCCCTGGTCCTCCCGCGACCGCAGGTCCGTGCGCGTGCGGTTCTCCCCGCCGCCCACCGACTCGTACGTCGTCGGCGTCGTCTGCCCCACCGGGTGCGCGCCCTGTGCTCCCGACATTCTGCCTGTCTGCCTGCGCGCTGCGCCGGTGCGTGGCCTTTACCCTCGCTCGCGCGTTGCTCGTCTTGGTTGGGGGTGGTTTCCTTTCCCTTTGGCGATGTCACTTGCGCTGCAGAAATGGGAATCAAATCGTCGTGTATATAGCTGAGCTGCGGCGTGGGTACGTACGTCCACGCATGTGACGCGCCGCGTGGCCTGGGGACGTGGTGCGACGGGAGCGGCGTCCTGGGACACATGGGCGGGACCGTCTCCCGCGCGGAATTGGGAGCCGACTCGTGTCCGCTGCCGTGTCCAGCTCACACAAGAGACGCTACCAGGCTTGCCCGGGTTCGGGCAGGATAAACACGACGTTGACCACCTGGCCGTCTGAGAGAGTGGTCGGCGTACACCAAAGAGCGAAGAACCACGACCACCTGCCCGTATAGACGAGCAAATGGGCCTCCCGGACCGGCACGGCCCGACGTACCGCCGGACCATGCCACCTCAGTCCTTCGTTCCCAGCCGACTGCCTAGGCATGGCATGTCGGGCCACCTTTCTGCCAGGCCGGACTAAAAAGCACGCTTTTTTAGCAGGCCGGGGCGCTGGGCCGGTTTGAGGCCGCGTCCATGCCACAGAGCGCCGCCGCCGCGCCGCGAAGGAGAGAGCTCGAGGCCACCGGGTCGCAAAGGAGGAACGAGGGAGCTCGAGGCCGGCGCTTGTTGTGCGGCCGCGCGGGAGGCTTGGACCATGGAGGAGGAGGAGTAGGCGGCCGCTGGTGCGGGTGACGAGGAGGAGGTGGGCACCGTCGATGGTGCGAGCATGGAGGAGGCGGCCGGTGGCGCGGAGGGCGAGGAGGAGGCGAGGTCGCGACTACGACGTGCGTCCGCGTGAGCCGAGTGTGGTGCGGGGATGGGACGCGGGAAGTGGGATGAAAGTAGTCAGGGTTACAACGAAAATAAGATGGGATGCTGCTAGGCACAAGGCCTCCACCGGGCCTGGCGTATTTTATCGGGCCTGGCCGGGCTTGGGGAGCAGCCCATGCCAAAAATCGGGCCTTGTGCCGGGCCACCGAGCTGCATGCTCATCTTTACCTGCCTGCCCTATTCATTTGAGTTTTTGACCACTTTTTTTACTACTAGCTTTTAGACTTTATGAAAATCAAACAACTCTCGTAAGCCAAAAGCCTAAAAGATTACTATAATGAGCTTGAGCTTTTTGGCTTTTAAAGCTCCAAAAGATGATGTCTAAAAGCTACAGGAAGCCCAGACAAACAGACCACCACAGCTCGTAGCAGCTTTAGCATATCTAACATTGACATAATTAAGCACTGTAGCATTAATATCTACTAGAAGCATCTCCTGCCGCGAGATATTTTTGAAAATAAATCTATTTTATACATAGAATTGCTATATGGTGTGTATATATATGAATTTGACTTGCATGTTATTTTATTATATCGGATCTGATAAAAAATTGTAAGCTAATAGAAGAAAAACCAATAGAATATTTGATCACATTATAGAAAAATAGGTGATGAAACAAATAGCATATGTAGATGACTTTACGTTAATAGATTAAAGATTAAGAGTAATTGCACATAATAGAGATGATGTGGATATTTTTTTGTAATTAATAAAAGATGACATGGATAGAATGCATGAAAGGATTGTAAGTTAGTGGGACACTTAGTGGGAAATGATATGGATACCTTGAATAAAGATATAAATATCTAGTACTCCCTTCATCCTAAATTATAAGATGTTTGACTTTTTTGACTCCAAGTTTGATCACTCGTCTTATTAAAAAAAATTGTGCAAACATAGTTAAATTTAAGTCATTCTTGAAGAACTTTT